AGGAATGACACTACACGAGATTCCATTTGTTAGCACTAACAAGAGCAGTGCTGTGCTTCGGGTCCTCTACATCTTTGAGATTTTTGGGGAATTGCAGGCAAACCTCTGAGCCTCCTAGGCTTCTGCGTTTGTTACAGAGGTGCAGTAATAACTCCACTGTTTAAAGGCTGCAGTTCAAATGTGGCAAATACATTGCATTGGAACCAGCTCCAAGTTGGGTGAATTGAAAGAACCGTGATCGTGTATGGCAGGGGAACTTGAAAAAGCATTGCCTGTTCTGTGGTAAAAGGAAAATATTCAGCTTTCCCAAGATAGAATTTTTAAAAAGTTCAAAAGTAGAGAAATAATTTTCAAGAAGAGGGATTGTATTTTTATGCGGCCGTTTTAACTCAGGGGCCAAGAGCAGTCTTAATAGACTAGTACTAGCACCGGGGCAGGGATCAGAGCCAGCTTCAGGTCTTGCTGTGGCACAGATATTTTTTGTATCCTTGGGCAAATCACTTCGCCTCATCTGCAACTTGGCGGTCACAGAATTTAATTGCCTTGGAGATGAAATACACTCATCAGTGAATTCTTGTAAGGATACAGTGAGCAGTTTGAATCCTTTGGTGATGGAATCATCTTAATAAAAAAGATGGAAAGAGCTGCTGGTTGTTGTTATGAGGACATTACAGCAAGCAGTTCTGTGAACATTTGGTATTCTAAGGAAAAAAAACCTGTAGGTTGGCTAAGGTTGAATGAAATGTGGAAATATAGTATACTCCTCATTTACCTCCCTAGTATGCGAAGGAAATCAGAAATTCCCCCTAAAACCAATTTGTCTTTTATCTTGATTTATCAAGGAAGACTGAGGAAGGCTTGATGAAAATAGGATTTCTGAAAGAAGAGATTTGAAGGCTGAGCACTACATATGGGCAGATAAAGGGATTGAGGTGTGGGGGATTTTTGAGTGAAAGAAGTCCTGAGATTCAGGTGACCTGGCCAGCAGGAGAACTGGATATGTCCAGGGAGGAGAATGTCATGTGGTAGAACATCACAAACTCTGGAGGACTATAAATTAGGGTATTTTAAGTTATGAGTACATATATAATGAAACATTTCAGGTTTGCTGTTCTCCGAAGATATTTATAGGTACTTAGGATTTTAGCTGCCTTCACTACAGCATGGCCCTGCTGATAGCAAAGAGGTCCTTCAGGTGCATGAAGGACAGAACATGAAAGGGAAGGTCCTGGAGCAGGAAATTGTCTTTCTGTGCTCTTCTGGAAGAGAGTGAGCACAGTGCTTCCAGGTTGTGCAGTGAGCCCCTAAATGTGGCAGCCAGCTGTGTCCATGCACTTTGTGAACTTCTTGTCAGCTCCCCAGAAGGAGGCTTTCCTTTGCCCTCGGGACTTAGTGCTGTGGATGGAATTACAAAACCCTGACAGGCCCTGGGCTGGCCTAGCAGCTGGGCGTTATGCTGGGAAATCATCTTTCTCTGTACATAAGCCTCAGACTTGAGCCTTACTTAAGGTGGGCAGGAGGCCGGGGGAAGGGGAGATATGAGGGATGCGGTTTACTGGAAGCAGGGCTGATGTGAGGGATTTAATGAACATCCACCCTGGGCAAACAGGTAGAACTGTTACACTGGTAAAACTTCTGGGGATTTCTGACTCTTGAGTCAATGGGGCATGAAGTGTCCTAGGAAGTTTCTTATAATACGCTGCAGAAATTTGCATGCCCATCAGATCACACACCCCAGCTACCCCAACCCAACGCCTGCCCCAGACAGCAGGTGCCATCACAGCCACCACTAAAGCAGTTTGACAGATGGTAGCCTGCCCCAGACTATGCAAATTGTAGTTTTAAGCAGGCAGGAGGATCCTGCGTTTTGCTGCACAGTGGCTTCACTGTGTTGGTACCTGCAAGCCAAGGTATGGGAATGGGAAGGAGTAGGGCATGGGCCGGGTAGGGGGAGTTGGCCTTGGGTGCTCCCTAGCTGAACTGTTGCTTGATCATGTTGTGGCTGGTTTTCCTTTGCGTGTAGCTTACCTTCTTGATGTGATCTCATCAGGCAAATTGGAGACAATCTGATTGTCCCTGGAGGGGTCAAAACCATAGAAGCCAATGGGAAGATGGTGATCCCTGGAGGAATTGATGTCCACACTCACCTGCAGATGCCGTACAAGGGGATGACAGCTGTGGACGATTTCTTCCAAGGGACAAAAGCAGCCCTGGCTGGTGGAACTACTATGATCAGTGAGTGCAGCAGGCAGGTTGTGACAACCCCCAGCGGGCTAATGTGTTTTTGAGGGCAGTTAAAGCACTGCTTCATTCAGTACTCTAAATTTGCAGGAGATCTGTTTGATGTTGGCTTCTGCAGCTTGCAGTGGTTTTTTTCAATTATTTTAAGAAGTTGAAGAAAGAGAGTACAGTCCAAGAAGGGTGTGTTGAACTTCCTACTTGGGGCAGTGGGAACGGACAGAAAGACAAATGACAAGAAGGAGCTAGGGGAAAGTTTGGAGGAAGGAGGAAGATGCTCAACAGCTGTCTGTGGTTCTGACTCTGTGGAGGAGGCACATGTCACAGACAATTGGGAACATGAACATATCTGAGATTTGGAAAAAATAGGGGGGAGGGTTGAGAAGGGGAGCCCCTCTGGGAGCTCAGAAACTTGCAAGCAAATCCCTGAGATCTGAGCGCCATCTCAGCACTGTGACCATGCAGAGACCCAATCCAGGATGCTTACTCTCCTTGCCAGGCCATCCCGCTTTTCTCCCTGCCTTGCTGGCATCTCGGATGGAAAAGGGCTCGGAAGAAAAAAATGCAGCCAAGTGTGCCGCTCTTGCTTTTGCTACCAGCAAATTGTGGCAAGGCAGGTCTGGCTGGAGCAGAACGCTGGTATCTTTTCATCCATCTGAAGTAAAGAGGGAGGGCTCTGAAGGTGAATTTTCTTGACCAATGGATGAAACATGCCTTTGGGTTCACTAAAACATGAAAAAACTCAGTGCATCAGCCCTCTTCTGCTTGAGTATTGGGTAACAGTAAACCACGGGGTGTGATAAAGGGCACCTGGAAAGCTCTTTTGGAGGGGCTGAGGAATGAAGGTCCAAATTTTGTTGTCTTACTAGAGTGATGCCTGGGGAAGGAGACAAGGTGTGCATCAGAATAACAGTGCAAATGTGGGCCAGCTTTGCCAATGCTCGATATTGCTTTTGTTAGCCCTGATCCAAATACTTTTTGCACTGCATTTTGGAGGTGCTTCTATTTTGAGCTGGGGAAGGCATTTGCAATAAAACCCCAATCCAAATGGAACTCCTTGATCTTAAGGGTTTTTGTTGTTGTTGTTGCGCTCTTGAAATGTTGCCTAGTTGGTTCTTTTTCTGTTTGTTTTTCTTACTGTTGTTTGTTTTAAAGATCCATGAGACCGTGCTCATCTTTTCAGTGCTCTGGCCCTGCTGAGTACAAACAGGGGCTGATGTATGAGTCCAGGGTAGCAGCAAGTGCAGTTTGCCTCCATTTTACATGGTTTTACACTTCAGCTCACTGCAGACTGGAGACTGAAGAGCAGGATGAGTCTTTGGGACTCTTTAGTGATACTGAAGTGCTGGGGAAGGAGATTTGCACGGGGCTCTTTGCCCCAGCTTCAGATCCTGCGTTCTGCAGTGTTCCAGCGTCTGCAGCCACTGATGCCCCTGAGAACCTCAAGAAGGAACAATGACATAACGTATTTTTCTGTTAAATAAAAATAGGGCAGCGTGCTCAGATGACTCCAAGCAGAGGAGCAGAGCGATGCCCCAGCATCCTGCACCGCTCAGAGAAATAAATAGTTCTAACTAAAAAGGAAAGGGAATTCTAGGTTCTTCCCTGGAGAATGCCACAGATGTGCATTGGTTTATTATCCAGATTTTACTGCCTGTGCAGTGGTCACAGTTGTCTGCACTTTGCAGAGTTTCTAGGATGCAAGAGCAGTTGTTGATCCCTTCTGTAAAGGACTGGGTTTCTTGCCCTCCCCTCACTGTTTCTCCTTATTCTGTGGGCCAAAAAAAAGAAACAGTTATGTAAAATGCACTGCAGCAGGGTGTGAGGATTACATCATGGGCAATAAAAGGTGCATTAGTGTTGCAGTGTGGGAGGACAGTACGTTTTAATGGGGTGGAAGTAGGGGTGAGGAAGGACAAGGCCCTTCAGCTTTCAGCTGATTTCTCAGCAGAAGTCTGAAAAAGCCCCTGGTGCTATGCCAAAGGCTGTTAAGGAAATGCACAGAGCCTTTACTTTCCGATAATATACTTGGAAGAGTCCAAGCAAATCATGGAGGTGGCGGGGGACCTCTTCAGAGCTGCCTCGATGTTTTATTTCGCCCATGATATGTGGCAGCTCAGAAAACAAGTCTGAGACCTTGGAGGTGCCTTGTGACTTGTGGGGAGGCAGTGGGGTCTGCATCAGGGGGCAGGCTAACTGGCAGAGCTGGTGGCCACCGGGGCCGGGAGCACCCTTCCTGATGCCTCTGCTGTGCCCTCTCCAGTGGACCACGTGTTCCCAGAGCCCGAGTCCAGCCTGGCGGACGCCTACGAGAAGTGGCGGGAGTGGGCTGATGGCAAGGCCTGCTGCGACTACTCCCTGCATGTGGACATCACCCACTGGAACGACAGCGTCAAGCAGGAAATGCAGACGATGGTCAAGGAAAAAGGTTTGCTGTGTGTCGGAGCAGGGAGGTGCTGCGCCCCACCGTCACACATGGGTGTCGTCTGCCCCCACCCCTGGGCTCACCGACCTGGTGGCAGCATGGCAGGGTCCATGCAGCGCTGTGGATGGTGCACAAGGCAGGGTTGTGTCCCAGCCTGCCGGTGTCTCGCTGTCAGCTTAAGCAGAGCTGCATCTTCCTTGTCACCTGTTAACTGCAAGGATGGTCCTTGGTGGAGGGAGGGGGAGGCTGAGAGGGTTATTTCGCTGTATTTGTGAAGTATTTGCACTCCTGAGACAAAAGTCAAAATATTGTTACAAAACATAAGAATTCTTGGCATTTTATGAATGAATTTCACAAAAATTGGACGTGTGAGTACTTTGGAGAATCTCAGAGCTCAGATTATTAGTGAGCACAAGTCTTGCTCAGACCCTCAGCACAAAGGTGTAAGAGTGTAGAGAGCGGTAAGTGAAGAAAGTACAAATATCTGGGACCATGCTCATCCAGGGAAAAGCCCACTGGTCCCAAGTGTCATCTGCTCATAACCTTCCACGTCGGTGGTCCCTTCCTCACAGGGACCTGCTGTGGGCTCTCTGCTCTGTCCTTACGGGGTGCAAAGCTGAGACTGCTGCAGCCCGGTAGCAGATAGTGGTTTTGCTTTCTTTCATCCTCTTGTTTGTGAATATCTGCTGGGATCCTCCATGGAGAGTGAGTGTCCTGAAGATAAACTAACGGGGAAAGCAAACCAAAACAGACAACCTTCTGCCTGACCTCCTGCTCTTGCCAAAGGCTCCCATTCCATTAGGTCTGAGTAATTCTCACATGCCTTGGATGTATTTGGGAAGAGAGAGAGAGAGCACTGTTTGCTCACTTCTTTTTTTCCCCTCTCTGCTTGTCCCCTAGGAGTTAACTCCTTCATGGTTTATATGGCCTACAAGGATTTGTACCAGATGTCAAACACAGAGGTAAGAGCTCCATTATCACTTTGGTTGCGTTTTAGTAGAGCAGTAGCTGGAAAAACAGCAGTAATACTGAATAACCGTAATATAGAGAGGAGATTCAGTCCACATAGCTTTTGTAGGAGGCTTGCAGCCACTGCTCCTTTCATCCTTGCTCTCTTCAGGCTTGTGGCACAACCATGAGTCCAGTTTATCAGCCACATGCAGCAGTGTAACTGAACTTCCACCATGAAGATGGTGGCAAGCAGAGAGTTGGATATGAGATTACAAAGAGCATCAGTGGGTGCAGGTGGCTTTCCGAAAGCACCATGCAGCATGACCACAGATTGTGGTCTTTGTGTGGCTGAATCCTTCCTTTCCACGCTGCCCCCTCCCTGCGGGCTGCCAACGTTTTCTCTTGAAAGTTATATTGTGGAGATCTTTAAGGTCATGCAGAAGCCAGGGGAACGGGTCTGTGTAGTAATCACTTTTTCTTGTCTCCCTTGTAGTTGTATGAAATATTCAGCTGCCTGGGAGAGCTGGGTGCCATAGCTCAAGTTCATGCTGAAAATGGGGATATAATTGCACAGGTAATTACTATTCTGGTTATGCAGGGACTGAAAATCTAGCCCAAGCAGACAGATTTGATGCAATGTATTAGCAAAGGACACTAAAGCTGCCTGGGCATCTTTTGAAAGATGATCTCTTTGATGCTGCTTGACAGTGATATTAGATTTACAGAAGTTTTCTGCTGTGAAGTATCTGGTGGGAATTGTGGTAAGGCGGTTGCAAGACATTTAAGCTCAGTTCTTCCGGGCGTTCATCTGCATTTTGACATTGAAACACCAGGAGTCAATTTCTCTATGTTTTGTTTCTCTGGAACAATGGAATCAGAGCCCATTTCGTACAAACACAACACACAACCTAAAGAAATCAAAAGGTCACGTGTTTTGGAGCATATGATTCTTCTGTTATCACGGACATTATGATTTTCTTTACTATAAAGACGGTAAAAATTCAAATTATTTAAGGGTATATCAGATACAGCCAAGCATTTCAACTTTTTTAAAAACAAAAGTACAATGAAACTGAAGATCAATGAAAATATTTCTATGACATTTAAAAGAAAAAAAAAACATTGGCAATAGTTTTCTCCTTAAGTAGGCAGTTTCTTGCAGAGTTAGAAAGACAGGCTTTTACAGATGAACTCAAAACAGATACCAAACATCCTTTTTTCCCCCTAAATTCTCACAATTTTTTTCAAATTATCCAAGCTACTCCTTGCGCATCATCAGGAAAAAAAAAGCTTAATTTACATTCTTTATTTTTACCAACTTTGTAGAATTTCCTTCTCACAATAGGAGATACTTTTTTGATTCAGCTTTGGCTGAATCAGTCCAAGTTGTCACTTTTTTTAAAAAGAGCTTTAGGAAATTAATTCATTAAGCAGCATCATGTTTGAAGAACTTTTCTGCCAGAATACAGGAAATATAAAATAGCTGAGTTTAAAAGAAGCACAAGATAATTTGGGAATGTGTTTTTTATAAAGCTTTTGCAGCTTTATGAATGAAATGAGTGAGAAAAGAGATTTGAAACCTCCGTGTCCTGGAAAAGCAGCATCTTCTCCCTGCTAGAGCTTTACCTCATCTCAAAGCAATGTGTGAGAGCTGAGATAGATGCAAGGATTGCACGCTGCTTCCCATCAGGTTACAGTGGGTTTGCACAGCAGCAGCCAGTTGCTAGTGTTTCCTTGGAATTGCTCACTTTTGACTGGTTGCCCTTTGAAAACTGCTGCAGCTTTACTCTTGCTTCCTCCAAACAGCAGCGGAGTTGTGCTACTGCTGGGCACCAGCCTCTCATGCAGGGTGGCAACACCAGATTGCTGCTCCACGGTGTCAATTTTCAGCAAAATCGTGCTCATTTTGCTGAGACTCGATTCAATTGCCATCTGTAATTTGATGCCTTTGGCTGTATGTGGCCTTTTTATTTTTGGAGGGGCTGAGATGATTTCTCAGGAAACCTTTGAACGTTTTATTCCTGAAGAGGAAAGCCAGGGGCGCAAAGAGAGAGTTGGGCTGCGAAGTGTTGGCTGCCGTTGGGGCGCGAGGCGGTTCGAGAGCAGGTCCTTAGGAGCGGCCCTGTCCCAAAGGAGGCCTGACCTGGGCTCGTCCTGCATGGGAGCAGCTTTTCCATCCTCAGACTTCTCGGTGCCAGTGTTGTGTGGAGGCCGTTTGTTTTTGTGCCAGACGTGTTGTCGCCAGCAATAGCTACTCTCACCCCTATCAGGAAAAGATTAATATTTTCCATCTGGATGAGCTTCTCATATTTTCGTATTAGCTTCTGTGAGGCTCAAAGAAACTCTGTTGCAGCTTTTGGGCAATAAACAAGAGACATTTTACTTACTTCTGGATAAAAACAAAGCTCATTTATCTTCCTTTGCTAAATGCTGGATCTAGTAGACAGCTCAGTTCAGTGTAAGAAAAGCTGAAACACTGCATTAGCGATTACTCTAATGGAACAGAATAGGCCATTGAGTATGGTATGTTCACTCTAGCAGCTCTTTTTCAATACAGAGAGACAAAGACCTCTGCATTGCACGTGATCAGTTCAGAGAGTTTAAATGTATTTGAAAAGTGTTGCAGCAAGAGAAGAACTTTCTCTCTGCTATAAGCAGGCAGTCAGCTAATGGAGCTGGATTTGCAAGGGAATTGTTATGAAAAGATGCTGTGTAGAGTTCAATTGGGTAGGTGTGTTGGTCTACTGTGTTAAAGTTGGTACTGGATGAGATAAAGTCCAAATACGTCAATGTTTGTTAAGGCTGGGGAAGACATTGCTCAGTTATGGTCGGTAACTACTTATCTCTTCCTGTCTCTTTTCGTATTCTTGGGAGATGAAGGAGTGTGAATTAAGAGGTCAGTCTTTGAGCATCCTTTCAGACTACAAGAATTGACTTTTATTTGGACTTTTTAGGGCCCCACTGCCCAATCTGATGGCTGTTTCACATGAAAACAAAGAGTGATCAAAGGAACGGTCTTGGCTAGAGGTTATCTCTTATTTCAGCTGTCTACTCACAAGACACCCCAAAGCTATTAGATTTACTGGCACTTCACAGCCCTGGAAACTGCTTCCTTCTGATTGGACTGATTGAAACAGAACATTGCAAACCGGTGAGGGGTTCAGAGTACTGTTAGATTAGACTGCGGACATGAAGCTTCTAGTCATCAGCTTGGTGGCTGTTCCCAGGAGGAAGAGTTGAGGATGTGTCTTCTCTGTTCCCAATTTCAGTCCCTTTGACTTTCAATGTTGTTTCTCCAGAGCAGTCAGTGTGTTTCTCCAGAGCTCAATCAACCTAGGAGAGGCAGTTGTAGGGGAAGAGATGTCGGCAGAAATAGTAGTAGTAGTGCAAGTAGTGCAAGACCTGAACAGAAATAGGACCTGAGCAGGAAGACTCCAGACCTGACACTCTGCGGGGTGAAGAGCAAGACTCGAAAATAATGTTGTCCAGCCTTTGCCTAGCATTTGCATTGCAGCAGAGAAAGTGTCAGAGGAGGCAATGCACACCAGTTGCACCCTGTGCAATCTCATCCTTCAGTACACTCTTAAAGAGTGTACTGAAGTGCTGTGCACGTATTTGTTATCATTGCTGGGGTTACACAGTCCTGGCACAGACTGATGGCTTTATTTAATGCCAGTAACATGCTCAGTACTCTACAGCACACAAGAAAAAGCACATTTAAAAAATCTTGCTTGCAGGCTTACTATTACTGTTGCTGTGCATTTGCTTCACACCTTATGGCAATGCTTGGAGAGTTCTTGGCCTGTTGTGCAACTGTCCGTAGCTTCTGCAGATCAAGGGTCAGGTAGCAGGTGGAGAGCAAACACGTACATTGCCACAAGGGCGGTGACAGCACTTGGATAGGGGTGTGAGAGCTAGAAAGATCCCTGAGTACCGAGGTCCAGGTATGCCATGAAGTCCCTCTGCATGTTTCTTTTGACCTCTGTCTAAGAGAGCTCTTTGAAATGAGGATGTCTGAGAGAAGAATACCTCTAAGGTACAGTAGAAGGGAGGTATGCAGGTCATTACTCAAACACACAGAAAAATTATCTGTGGTCCTTATTTATAACATCAAAATGTTTGGGTTATTGTTAATACAGAAACCAACTTCCCACACCTGCAACTTCTATATATTTTGATACAGGACAGGATTTAGCACTTGCTGAAACCTGATTAAGTAGCAGCGGTGGGGGCACAGAAGCATCCTTGGGGGGAGAATTTTTGAGTTTTATTAGCTTTGACTTTTTTTTTTCTTGGTAGTTTCTACTAGGACTACTTGCATTTTGGAAGAGGAGCCAGGGAGGGCCTGGGAAAGGGACAGTAAATGTATCAAGTGCTGTTAATGGAGCTGGGGAGTTTTGAACCCTTTTGCCTTCATTCTGTGCTTGTTTCAGAGAGGATCTTCTAGTCAATGTCAAAGCTCCCTCCAAACACTCCTATTTCCTCCTTCTCACTGTTTGTTTCCCTTGAACTCTGTGACCTCTCAGAAAGCATGGATTGTTCACCATGTACACTAGGTCCTCAGGTTGTAGGTGGAGGGTGGTCCTCGGGGCGGTGCTCGACACTGGAGGGATCTGCTTTTCTCTGTGGTGACTAGACTCAGAGTCTGGTAACATCCCTCTGTCCTTTCAATGTTCTAGGAACAAACCAGGATGTTGGAGATGGGAATAACCGGTCCTGAGGGCCATGTGCTGAGCAGACCCGAGGAGGTAAGACACAGAAGTCTGTTCCAGCCTTGTTGCACTGAAGCACTTTCCCCACAAGTCATAGAAGGGCTTTGTGTAATGGCGCCGAACAGGGATCTGTGTATGCATGTGCATAGAGGTAAATAGGTAAATATAAATATATATAAATACACCCCCCCCAACACACACACACACGTGTGTATGTATCCATATGTACATGTATATATCCATTTACCCATATATCCAAGGCAGTATTGTCTTGTTCATCACCAGCTCAGGAGAGAGAGAGGTGCACTTTGGTGATGAACATTTTTCAAGTTTTGCTTGAGTTTCCTATCAGAGACAAGGGCTTCCGAGTCTTCAGGAGATTAAATCATCAGTAAAAATTTCTGTACGGGCATAGCAGCATTTAGGGCTGGTTACTGGGCAATCACTTTGTATAGATGTTTCCACTGATGTAAAAGGCCTGAGAAGAATCAAATGATGAGTGTTAGTCCCTCTAAAAATTACCCATTCATGTCTTTCAGAGCACAAACAGAGATTCCAGCCTCTCAATCTAATCTCTGCTTAAGGTCTAAAGTGTGTTAAAATCAGACAGACAAAGCCATTGGTGGAAGGAGTGGGAGGGAAGGAGAGAGGGAATTTCCTGGTTACAAATCATTGTCAAGACGCTAATTAGATTACTTCTAATTTTAGCTCACTGGGTATTTTTCTGTTTGGCTCGTTAATGTGAGTTGAGTCTACTTTTAGGGTTTGGGGTTTTTTTTTTTTTTTTGAAATGTCAGCTTGAGATAGCTCCCTGCTCAGAACTGTTTTTAACTTACCCCAGCACATGAAAGAAGGAAGCAATAGGAAATTTGTACAATAGCAAAGCTCTGCGTAGAGGAGCACAGGGACAGATTTGTACTTCGTGGTCTAGTGGAAATAGAATCAGCTGGCTTAAATTAACAGTACGAGGAGATGATTGTATTATGCCTGGTAACAATGTATGGAGTCTAGTAAAATACAGAGCTTATTCTCCTCGAAGTATGAGACAGTAAACTATTTTCCTGCACAGTGAAAAGACTCAATGTAAAATACAGTTGACCGGATTCCCTCTGTGTGTAAACTGAAATTGATTTTTATGGCTCTAGACCTTTTGCCGCTAGCTGGCAAGCTAATGCACAATTATGGGATACTGTGATTGTGCCAGAATTTGAGAACTGTCCTATTATCATAAGACAGGCACTGCGGTTCCTGCCAAAGCCGATAAAGGATTGTTGAGTGCTTGATCTCGAAATGCCATTAAAGCATAAAGCAGCTGAGAACAGTGCAAGAAGGCTCTAGCTATAGTCTGTGCAGCCAAATCCAGATCTTACTGCCTTTGAAAATAGACAGTGTCCCTATTCCAGAACATCCTCACCTAGGAAAACGTTAGAGGACGCTGACATGCAATGACACTGTCACCCTCCACAAAACCTGTAGGTTGAATCAGCTGCAGGATGGCAGAAGATTCAGAGGGTGGCTCCAGAGCTCAGTGAGTGTGCTCTGTCTCAAAGTGACCTTGGTGGGGGGGTTAAAGACGTGCTCTTGTATCAGGTCATGGTGATGATTTGGTAGTGCAGGATGGTGCCACTCCAGAATGTGGATTCATTGTGGTTGCAATGACCACGTTTGCTCCTGTCCACATGTTAAAACTCATCAGCTGCACAAACTTGTAAGTGCACTGGTAAAAATATTTTCCTGTTTGCATTTCTGTTTAAACAGTCTTTAAACAGAAGTTGAAATACTCTTTTAACTAGGCTGATGAACTTTGCCTCAAATAGGCCCCTAAAAGTTTCAAAGCAGGGTGTATGAGTATGTGTGTAGCTGGGTGCAGTGGTCTGTTTCTCCAGCTTCTGGGAGAATTCAGGTTTGCATAACCAGCGTCCTGGCCTACAGACGCTTACTGCATTCCCTTCAGCTGGCAGTCCCTGTGTCCCCAGGGAATTAGCTGATTGGTACATTGTCTTTTTAAGGCTTCTGTTTTGAAATTTCTCATACCAAAGCTTTACGCCAAGCTGTAGAGCAAACACTTTGAGAACCTCTGGGGTTGAGCTCAGGCTGAACAAGGGCTGATGTAAGAGTCCAAAGATATCCCTTATGTTAAAAATCCACCCTGCTCTAACAGCAAGCGAGACAGTGAAACACAGAGTGGCTGTCCCAACAGACTAGGGAACCATAAGCCGGACAGCCGGACAGATAGACCCAACGCGAACAGCCTGCCAGGATGTAGCTGCTGCCCCCGAGCCACGGACAGGATGAGGTTCAGTTATGACGAGCAGAGCCCCAGGAGAGCCAGTGGCACTGGAACAGTCCAGTGGAGCACATCAACCTCCATTAGGCCCTTTAGAGGCCTGGCAGCAGTCTCTGAGCCGTGCTGTCACACATGGGTAACAGTCCCCCCGGCCCCTCTGGTCAGCAGGGAAGAGAGCTGGAAACAGACAGTGGAAAACGTTGGATCCAGCTCCCTGTGCTGGCCACAGTTAGAGCACAGACCTGGCAGGCCCTGTTCTGCAGAGGGTCATGTGCCTTTAGCTTGTGGCTTGAGGCAGGCCTTAGGAAGACTGAAGTTTTCCCCTCAAGCCTCCTTGATTAACTTGCCCTTAGGGAATTCCTTGCTATAACAAGTGCTAAAATGCTGTTAAAAAGCTGCCCGAGTGGAAGCAGGAACTGATGGGTTATCATTTGGACAGACAGCTGTGAAAGAGCTTTACAGGGTTCGAGTTCAGGCCGAACATTGATTAGCACATGAAGTAGCACTGAGATTGAGCTCCTCGGCTGAGATTGCAGCTTGAACTGGTGAACTTCATGTGAAATGTCTTGCAGTGTGACTGGAAGTGTGTGACTGAGAGCTGTTTTATTTATGGAGTGAAGGGTCTTTTCTGTATACCATTTGTGTTGGGCAAGGGGCAATAGGTGAGGACACTGAGGGGGTCCTAAGGAAGCAAACAAGACTATATTGATCAGCCCAACAGACAGTATCCTTATGAGCTTGGAGTCATACCAGGCAGTTTTAACACTTTGGGAGAAGGACACTCCTGTGGCAAGGGCAAGAGGGAGGGCACAGGGTGTCACCGGTAATCTGGTGTCGCCGGTATGCTGAGATGAGCAAAGGCTCTTTCCTCTCAGTCTGGCGCTTCTCTGCAAGTTGTGTGCCATTCTCTCTTCCAGCTGGAAGCAGAAGCAGTCTTCCGGGCCATCACTATTGCTAGCCAGACCAACTGCCCTCTGTATGTGACTAAAGTGATGAGCAAAAGTGCTGCTGACCTCATCTCGCAAGCCAGGAAAAAAGGTGAGCTGCTGCTCCTGCTGTACACAGTCTTGCTGTCACCCCAGGATCCTGGACGGTTGGGTTCAGTGGTCCCTCTGTCCTGTTTTTTGCCAAAAAGGAGACCTGTGCCTTGAAAGTAGTCTAATGGGATTGCAGTTAGTTTGGGGATTTACCTAACTCTTGTGGAGGGGCAAAGGGACACTGCATCAGGCCACTTGGAGCCACCTTCTATTGTCGCATCAGGTAACACAAATGTGTGGGTCGCAGGTAAGGACGGTGCTCTAAATACCAAAGTTTATTTGTGGCTGTGAAGGGCTCTCTATGCAAGGAGATTCATCCCATCCGTGTGCAAGTGATCTGAGCTGCTGTATATAGCCCCAGCCTCTGCTTGATGTGCTGGCCCTTGAGGAGGTACCTGGGGGCCTTTTTGGGTGGAAGGGAGCTCCATCTGGCACTGGAGCACAGCGACTCTCTTCCTGCACGTGCAGGCACATAGGCAGCTGCATTCGATTTGCCTCTCCTCCCCAAGAGCTGGTGAACAAGGAGGCTGACGGAAATGGTTCTCTCTGGCAAGACCTTGGATGTGAGGAGTGGCAGCAGCCCTGCTCACATCCCTTGCTCCTGCCACTGGCAGGAAAGACACATGTGCATGCAGACACACGTGCAGAGTGAGACACACTTATGAGCAGGATTATAGGATGGTGCTGGTCCACAAAAGCTGTGGACTGTGCTAGGTGAGCCTATGGGAGGCTGCACCAATTCTAGCTCAGCTGCCTGGAGCGTTCTGGGCTTCTTCAAGACTGAGATTTCACCTGATGAGGAGTGAAGGAGCTCTGCACCCTCCTGCACTCTCTGCTGTAGAGTTCCTGAATGGCATTGAGACTTTGAAGATCTACGACCCCTACAAAAGGGCAAAGAAAACGTAAAAAAAGTATTTGTAGAGAGGATCTCGCTGGAACTGATAACGGTGAGACTGAACAGTGATAAAAATCTCCCAGAAGCATTGCAGCCAGAAGCACGCACCCCAGATTGCAGAGACCATTTGGAAGAAAAAGCACAATTTTGCAGTCCCCACCCAAGTTTATCAGTGTGACAAGCTTTGGTCTGCAGAAGGTCCTTGGTCACCAGCTGCTGCACTCTCACCTGCTCTCTCCCTGGAGTCAGGCTCCAGGATATGTCTGAAAAGAACCAGTGTGCAAGTGAGAAACAGGATCAGGTAGAGCAGAGCCAGCCAGCACTCTCATGGCACTTGCTAAATATTTACAAGGGATAAGGAAAGCGGAATCGAAGGAGATTACAGTGGAAGACATTGTGAGAGCTTTGATCATCGGCCCAGTGTGGATTAGGTGTGAGACAGCATTGTGCGTCTGCCTCCCACATTGTGAGCTGTTACTTCTTACTAGAATTACCTGGCTCCTGCCAGGTATTTCTGTGCTGTGTGTCAGCTCTGAAATGTGGCTGTGTCACTGCTGGGCTGAAAGTCACCAGGGTGAAATGCCTCTCGCTAGCAGAGCTGGGATGCCGGAGCAGCCAGCCTTGCAGAACGGATCAGAGGGGACCAAGTGGCTTCTCTGCTGCAAAGGCAGCTCAAGTCTGGAAGTACCTGTTTCCAGGAAGTAGCAGGAGGCCAAGCTGCCAGCATCATTCGTGTGTGTGTGTGTGTGTGTGTGTGTGTGTGTGTGTGTGGTATCTGCTGGAGTATACAGCTCCCTGAGGCTGTGTCTTCCTGCTCGGTGCTCCCTCCAGGCTTCCAGTGCCAGCAGAGACTCTGCACCCTTGAATAGCTAGACTGGGACAGTTCCTGGTGCCTGTGGTGGTGGGCAGGGCTTCCTCTTGTTACCGCTGTGGGCCTTGTAGAGTCCCTTCTGTCTGCTCCAGTTCCTGAAATCAAAGCAGATAACGCAGGACAGGCTGATAAGGGTTTACGGGGTCCTCTGGGCATGTGCCAAGCTTTTCGTAACACTGGAAGGGAGAAGGAGTGAAGACTGCCAAAACAAGATCCATTTTGTCCCCTTTTCCAGGCAACGTAGTTTTTGGCGAGCCAATCACAGCCAGTCTCGGGACTGATGGGACGCACTACTGGAGCAAGAACTGGGCCAAGGCTGCAGCGTTTGTGACCTCCCCACCTCTGAGCCCAGACCCAACAACCCCCGACTACATCAACTCCCTCCTGGCAAGGTAGGTGACTGGCCTGGAAAATTTTCCCTGTGCAGGTGGCTCTACTGGCTGATACTGTTGGTAGGAAAGGAGCAGGCCTTTGGCCTTGAATAGGGAAGGAAGGGGTTATAGAATAGTTGGGTAACTTAGACATTAGTCCAGCCTGCATCATTTCACTGTAGATTATTTAATGAGCTGCCTGATGAAATGTCAGGGGGAGGCACCATAAGTTAAACATCAGTAACAAGAAAAATACCAGGGCAAGTAATCGTGAACCATTTTAAGTGCCCAGAAGAAGACAAAGAAATGAGGGTCGGCTAATATAGATTTGTCAGTAACAGAGTATTCACCCTGATCTGGACAAATTAGACCTATGCTACTGAATAGAGGCAAGTGCAAAAAGCTACCTGTAAGCTAAAGTAGACCCTCTGCAGAAACTGGATGGGGAATGATGGCCTGGGTTGCAACTGTGCAGAAAAAGATCTGGAAGCTACAAGGTATCCGCTAACTATCATGAATCCACTGTGTTGAATAAAAGGCAGATTTTTCTCTCACCCATATGGGTAAGCATTAGTACTGCCTGCAGAGTGCACGAGGCCTTTAAGGACAGCTCATGCACATCTGACAGGGATGGTAGAGTTTTTTTTCCCCCTTAGGGCAGGGTGTGGGGAAGGGATCTGTTGAAAATACAGAGCAAGTAATAAAATCACCTCAGCACTTTGTCTTGACCTTTCTTTCCGAGAGTTATACTCCCTCCATCTTCTCACTGGCGAGGAATGCTCAGCAGCGAGGAGCAGAGTCCCTTGCTGTCTATATCTGCATGCCGTGCGTGAATCACAAACTCCTTTCACCCTGTGTTTGCATGCTGAATTGTGTATGTGGCAGCTGGTCCATGTTAGCCAGTGGATATCTGACACTGAGGCAACTGTAAATGGAAGTAACCTTTGAGCTAATGTTAGAAAAATGTCTGACTAGATGAACAAGGGTCAGTGAAAGGAGTATTGGCAGAATGGCAAATTAGGATAAACCTGGGCTGTGCCAGGCTGGAGAGGCATTGCTGGATATGTATGGAGATGTCGCAGCTGGCATAAGAGAGCTGCCACTGCCTTTGAGGTCTGAATATGCAGTTCACCCTGGATTTTGCTGTGGTGAACGAGCTACGTGGGCTTCCGCTCAGTCTGGAAGAATGAAAAGGGTGCAGATCCTAAGGCCTGGAAAGGAAAAGTGAGCACAGCTCCTGAAGGAGAGAGAAGAGTACTTCTGGGTCCTTGCAGCCCACACACGTCTGTCCCATGCTCTGTCCTGACACCTTTCCCAGGTCATTTTCTGTGAGGCTTCGGCATGTGGAAAGGCTGAGAGGCTCCAGCTGGGCTGGCTGGCTTTTTTTCTTGCATGAGGACAAATCTGGTGGAGATTAGGAAGCATGTTTTGTCATAGACCGGGGTCTCTGCCTGCACAGTCAGTCAGCCATATGGCAGAAATTATAAAGGAAGATAGGGATTACCGGTGGATTAGGACTCTGATTCACAGCCCAGAGCACAGGGTCTTTGTGTCAGTGTTGTTCTGGATTCCAGCGCAGCCAGTCTGGGAGTCCGGTGCCCACAGTCATCTCCTTCCCGCAGGTGGCTTTGGGAGCTGACCTGGGTTGGTTTGCTTTCTTTTTACCCGGCAAGGATGGCTTTCCAGTTGCCATGTGTGTCTTCCTGGCTCTCCGAGTACTGGCAGCAGCCAGGTGGTTTCCAGAGAGCTATGTACAACTCCTCACCCTGCCCTGCCGGCTGTCAGGTCTCTGTCACTGCCTGTTTCTGCCCTCTGCTGTCATCATGGGGAATGGGACAGATTAAAGCATCTCAGTTTACTGATGGCCCTTTTCCAGGCAGGAGGGATTCTTTATAAACAACATTAAACAGGCAGCTGCTGTGAAGTGCAGTAATTAAGTTTTTCTGAGCACCCCGGAGAGAGCTGCTTTTGGGGGACTCCTGACTTGGGTAATCTCACTGGCAGATTTATGTCTGGCTGTCGGGGGTGTTTGCTTTTGTGGCTGTGATGTGGGAGAGATGCTGTGGCTTGGGCCAGAGGCTGTAACTTGAGCCAGCCTACACTTTGAAGCACATCTTTTTGGTCTGCAGCTCCATCTCTTTGTCTGTCTGTAGCTCATCCTTTGAGGGTGCACGCTGTACTGAAGAGGAGCCAGCAGGGAACTCCAGCTGGACAGAACAGCTCAGCTGTGCTGGGTCTCCCCTCCCAGAGCGCTGGGGCCAGGGCAGGGGTGGCCTGTGCACTCAGGGCGGCTAACAGCATGAGCGGAGCAGCTCAGGCTCAGCCCCACCTAAACCTCCACCTGTAGCCATGTCTTCTCACCTGCCTGGAGCACTGACCTGTCATGCTCTTGGCAAATCGACAGAGCAAAGAGCCTGCCAGCTCTGTAGCTGCTGAGCTGTTCAGGGCCCTAGTTCCAGTTTGCAGCAAGCAAGAGGCATCCCTTGGAATAGGGGAAGGTTAAGCCTGCCCCTTGGGGATGCAGGAGCTGGCAATACATCATGAAAGGGCTGGCTTTAGAGGACAGTTCTCAGGTATAAATAAGCCTCTCCTCCCTGTGACAGGAAGGCTGCCCTGTGAAGAAAACCCGACAAGCTGCCAGAAATAGTTTTTCTAACTCACCTTTTTTTTTTTTTTTTTCCATTTGAATTAGTGGAAATGACTGAGTCTGGTATGGAAGGATATTTTGTGGCTTGACGCAAAGGCCACCTTGTTCTCCTGTAGTCACACAGTTCCTCAGGGCATTTTCCCCAAGAGCTCAGCTGTTTACTTCCATGTGCAGCATGCTGGTCCGTCTCCTGTGTGGATGGTGCAGCGTGGCTGAGTGCTCCTGCCCACGTGCTCTGTTTCAGGCTCTCAGGTAATGCATCCACCACAGAGGCCGAGTCGTGTGGAAGCTTCCAGACAGAAGGAATGTAGAAACAGGGATGTAGAGTAAAACAGAGAATTGAACTAGGGGCTGCCCATGCACAGAGGAAATCCTTGTCCCTCATATCTCTGCTTTTGTCTGACCAACAAAATGACTGATGATGCTTTTGTTGCCACCACGCTTCAGTGGTGACCTCCAGGTTTCGGGAAGTGCTCACTGTACGTTCAGCACTGCACAGAAAGCAATTGGAAAAGACAACTTTACAGCAATCCCAGAAGGGACCAATGGCATAGAGGAACGGATGTCTGTCATCTGGGACAAGGCAGTGGTAAGAGACACAGCAGGGAGGAAGAAGAGTGTTTGGACAGGATGGATGGACACCTTGGATGTCCTGTTTTCTTGTCCCTAGCAGAGCTGGACACCCAGCAGCACATCTCCTTTCTGGCTTCGTAAGTCAAAACAAGCAAGGACAAGAGAGGGAGGTGTAGCGGGTTCAGGGTGAACAACCAGGACCTGTGAAGTATACATGTGCTGCAGGATTATTGTGGAGGAGTTGGGGGCTGAGATGCCTGATTTGATGCAGTCCCTAGCCTGCCAATTTGCTTCAACAGGTCACTTCCTTTTATACCTCGGTTTGTCTGTCTGTCCCTCTGAAGCTAATAACAACAGCAGCCATACTGGGTCTGGGCTGAGCTAGTCAGTATCTTGTGTTCAACTGCAAGCTTAGTGCTTCCTGGGGTGGTTCTTTTCCCCTTCCCCCAAAGAGCGCTTCATTCTCTTTTGTGTCCGAGCAGGCCACAGGAAAGATGGATGAAAACCAGTTTGTGGCTGTGACAAGCACTAATGCCGCAAAAATCTTCAACCTGTACCCACGGAAAGGGAGAATAGCAGTGGGCTCAGACAGCGATCTAGTTATATGGGATCCTGATGCAGTGAAGATTGTCACAGCAAAAAACCATCAATCTGTAAGTCCTCTGCTTATCTCTCTGTGCGAGCACTGTAGGGTGGGTTTGCTGAGGAGCTTTACGTATAAAGGTTTCCCTTGCTGTTGGCAGCTGAGCACTGCCAGCAGTACAGGTGTGACTGGGAAGGAGGGACTGAGTACAAGCTTTGGGCGATGCAAGCTGTGAATGCAAGGAAGGACGTCTGTGAGCTCTGGGGGTCTGCGCACAGGGCATTTCTCATCCAGCTGTGTTGCTATTCTGAACTTGGCCCATGCAGATGTATTGACACACGTTTCTCCTTATCTGGTTTCCTCTTCCAAATCAAAATGTCTCCAGACTTTGCCAGCATACTTACATTCATGTCTTACATCAAGCCTAGGTAAGCCTGCCTCTGTTGTTTGAGTCCTTGCTCACACTGAGCTCTCAGGCAGCAGGTCTTCGTTCACGTCAGAGGCTGTGGTGGGTCCTTAATGTGACGGAGCAGTGAACTAAAGGCGGCCTCTGGGGCAGGCAAGGCTATTACTGGTGGCCTCTCTGTGCACTGGTGACTTCAGCAATGGGGTATGGGGACCAAGCAGCCTTGAGGGGCAGGCCTTCTAGTTCAGAGAGCTGCAGTGCTCATGTCCTTCCTGACCGTCATCACCTGGTTGCTGCAGGTGGCTGAATACAACATCTTTGAAGGGATGGAGCTGCGTGGGGCCCCGCTCGTTGTCATATGCCAGGGGAAGATTGTGTTGGAGGATGGCAGCCTGCATGTGACCCAGGGCACTGGACGCTTCCTGCCCAGCAGTCCTTTCCCTGACTATGTCTACAAGCGGATCAAGGCCAGGAGGAAGGTGAGGAGATGGTCACTGCCAGTGGAATGGGGGACCCGGACACTGCTTGCCTGAACTGCCCTTTTTCCTGGTAGCTGATTATTTTTCCCTCTGCTTTTTTCACTGGATTCTGGAATCAGTGCTGCAAATCTCTGTATTTTGGACTTATAGTTGGGATATCTGAGGCTTTTGAGTCGGTGCTGATTGTGTGGCTCCGTCAGAGGCAGGAAGCTGGACTGGGTAAACAGCGGGTGAAGCCAGTCCAGTAGCTCCCTTCTTGTCCTGCTGCTGCAGAAGTCTGAAGGGAAGAGCCTAGTTTAAAAACTGGGAGATGGGACAGAAATGGCCTTCTCCTTTCCCATTCATGTAGCATAAATCCCTGCTGAGGGACTGTGTTGCACAGGGCCTTGCATGCTTTGCAGATGGGGATGGAGGGAGGCCATCACACAAAATGAGCGGCGGGTGAGCGGGGCAGCCACGCTGTGCGGAGGCCTCTGGGGAGCAGGACAGAGGGGCGCAGGGTGGCAGGGTGTTACGTACCTCCGCCTCGGACTCTGGCAGCCGAGGGTCGCTGGAGCGCTCTTCTTCTGGTGCTGCTGGCTCCTGATCCAGCTCGCAGCGGTGGGGACACTTCATGGGGGAGGAGAAGCGTCACCGTTCTCTCTGGTAACAGATGGCCGAAATGCACGCCGTGCCACGGGGCATGTATGATGGACCTGTGTTCGACCTGACCACCACCCCCAAAGGGGGCACCCCTGCGGGATCAACCAGAGGGTCCCCCACACGGCAGACGCCCCCCGTCAGGAACCTCCACCAGTCCGGCTTCAGCCTGTCAGGTGAACATGAGCAGGGGCTGGGCTGGGGGAGCGTGTAGCCCCCGGCTGTGTGGTCCCAGCCCTGCGTCCCAGGGGCCTGGGTTGGGGGTGCAGGGGGCTGGGGAATGGCGTGGGGCAAGCTGGGCATGAGAGCAGTTGGGGGGGGCGGGGGGAGGCCTGGGGTGGCCATGGCTGGAGCCGCCCTCCACCCTGCTTGCACCTCACAGTAACAGGTGGGTTCTGGCCGCAGCTTGCCTGGAGGTGCCGGAATAGCATCAGGGCCGTCTCTTGCCCTGTGGCCCCGTTCAAGGAGAGGTGTCTACAGAGAAATTGAAGCCTCAGCTTTCTGCCTGGTCGTTACAGGAGGCAGAGGCAGGGCTGGTCAACACAGATGAACTTGAGGAAAGACATGGGAGGACCTTCTGGGAGACCTCATGCTTCCTGTCTGCTCAGTCCTGTGAAGAAAATCCTCTAACTTTGCTTTCCTCCTTCCCTTTGTGCTTGCTTATCCTCCTCCAGGAACCCAGATCGATGAAGGCGTTCGCTCAGCAAGCAAGCGCATTGTCGCGCCCCCGGGAGGCCGCTCCAATATAACCTCCCTGAGTTAAATGTCCAAGCCAGGAAGGAAACAGAATCCCCTTCAAGCAAAGGAAGAAAAATGGTACATCGCTGTTCGAGAAGGAAAAGCAAATAAACCTGTTTTGAAGATTCAATAAGCCTCAAGCCTTATGTTTCACAACTGCTACTTGCTACCTAGCTTTAAAGATACTGCTTCATTTTGTTTTATGCGTAGCCTTAAACCTCTGTTGTTGTTGTTGGTTGGGTTGGGTTTTTCCTTTCCATTTTTGCATGCATGCCGCTCAGACAGGTCCTCAGTTCGGAGCCTGTACTGTATGTGTTGAGTGCTCGTGGGATGCCGCGGTGCAAGAAGGACCGCGACTGGCGCAACCCGGCCCAGTGGGAGCTGAGGCCAGCGGTGGGTGACAAGTGCAGCGCGGGGTGGGGTGGGTTAGCGGGAGCCCCATGGGACAGGTGGGCCTGTGTGTTGTGTTCACGTTGTTTCCACTCAGTGCTCATCAGCTGTTCACCATGAGGCCCGCAGGGAAGCCTGAATCATCTCTGTAACAACTGTCACAGCGCCTCATGTAAGAAATTTTATTACTTTGTACATTTTATTAAAAAAAAGAAAAAAAACAAAGCAATTGTTCCTTCCAAACAACTCCTGGTGCTGGTGGTTTGTCTGTTTTCCTTCTTAAGGCTGTTGGCATCTGGTTTGCGCTGGTCCTTACGAGGGTTGGGGGCGGTGGAGACGGGTCCCACCGGTGCCTGACCTGGGGCAGGGGGAGCACCAGGAAGGGCTTTGGGCTGGGTTTGAGCTGAAGCAGCTGCAGTGCAAGGACAGACGGTCGGCTGCAAACAGCGCGGTGCTCTGGGGCTGTAAGAGCTCCTGAGGCGCCGGGCAGGAGGATCAACAAAACCGTGCTGCGAGCATTGGGGGTTTTTTGCTGGTTGGTGGGTTTTTTGTTGTTTTTTTTTCTAAGTCTCCCTCCAAAAAACGGCTGTTCAGGTCATCTGCCTGGTCTCTGCCGGGAGCGTGACCAGGCCCTGCC